AAAATATGAAAGAATGCTGTAGTCAATCATAAATGGTTAAATAAAAAAAACAAAAAACTATAAAACAGGACAGCACAATAAAGAAAAAAAAAATTAATAACAAAAGAAAATAATAGTAAGAGGAAAATAGTAAGAAAGAAAAATAAGAAAAAAAAAGAAATGATAGTAAGAAAAGAGGAAATGATAGTAAGAAAAAAGAAATAAGAAAAGAAAGAATGATAGTAAGAAAAAGAGGAATGATATAAAAGAAAAAATACAGAATTAATAATAAGAAAAAAGAAATGATAGTGAAAAAAGAAATAAGAAAAAAAATGATAGTAAGAAAAGAAAGAATGACAGAAGAATGAGGAATGATTATGAAAAGAAAGATAAGAGAAAGAGGAATGATATAAAAGAAAAGAAAAAAGAAATGATAGTGAAAAAAATAAGAAAAATGATAGTAAGAAAAAAAGAAAGAATGATATAAAAAAAAAAATGAGGAATGATTATGAAAAAAGAAAAGAAAGAGGAATGATATAAAAGAAAAAAAAGAAATGATAGTGAAAAAAAAAAGAAATGAAAAAAAAATGATAGTAAGAAAATAAAAAGAATGACAGTGAGAAAAAATGAGGAATGATTATGAAAAGAAAGATAAGAGAAAGAGGAATGATATAAAAAAGAAAAAAAAAAGAAATGATAGTGAAAAAAAAAAGAAAAAAAATGATAGTAAGAAAAGAAAAGAATGACAGTGAGAAAAAATGAGGAATGATTATGAAAAGAAAGATAAGAGAAAGATGAATGATATAAAAGAAAAAAAAAAAAGAAATGATAGTGAAAAAAAAAAAGAAAAAATGATAGTAAGAAAAAAAAAGAATGACAATGAGAAAAAAAAGAATGAGGAATGATTATGAAAAGAAAGATAAGAGAAAGAGGAATGATATAAAAGAAAAGAAAAAGAAATGATAGTGAAAAAAAAAAAATAAGAAAAAATGATAGTAAGAAAAGAAAAAAAGAATGACAGTGAGAAAAAAATGAGGAATGATTATGAAAAAAGAAAGATAAGAGAAAGAGGAATGATATAAAAGAAAAGAAAAAAAAATGATAGTGAAAAAAATAAGAAAAAATGATAGTAAGAAAAGAAAGAATGACAGTGAGAAAAAAAATGAGGAATGATTATGAAAAGAAAGATAAGAGAAAGAGGAATGATATAAAAGAAAAAAAAAAAAAATGATAATGAAAAAATAAGAAAAAATGATAGTAAGAAAATAAAGAATGACAGTGAGAAAAAATGAGGAATGATTATGAAAAGAAAGATAAGAGAAAGAGGAATGATATAAAAGAAAAAAAAAAAGAAATGAAAAATGAAAAAAAAAAAAGAAAAAATGATAGAAAAAATGAAAATAAAGAATGACAGTGAGAAAAAAAAAAAAGGAAAAAAATGATTATGAAAAGAAAGAATAAGAGAAAAAAATGAGGAATGATATAAAAGAAAAGAAAAAAGAAATGATAGTGAAAAAAAAAATAAGAAAAAAATGATAGTAAGAAAATAAAGAATGACAGTGAGAAAAAAAAATGAGGAATGATTATGAAAAGAAAAAAAAGATAAGAGAAAGAGGAATGATAAAAAAGAAAAGAAAAAAAAAAATGATAGTGAAAAAAAAAATAAGAAAAAATGATAGTAAGAAAATAAAGAATGACAGTGAGAAAAAATGAGGAATGATTATGAAAAGAAAGATAAGAGAAAGAGAAATGATAAAAAAGAAAAGAAAAAAAAATGATATAAAAAAAAAAAGAAAAAAAATGATAGTGAAAAAAAAAAAAGAATAAGTGAAAAAAAAATGATATTATGTAAGAAAATAAGAAAAGAATGATAGTGAGAAAAAATGAGGAAAAAATGATTATGAAAAGAAAGATAAGAGAAAGAGGAATGATATAAAAGAAAAGAAAAAGAAATGATAGTGAAAAAAAAAAAATAAGAAAAAATGATAGTAAGAAAATAAAAGAATGACAGTGAGAAAAAATGAGGAATGATTATGAAAAGAAAGATAAGAGAAAGATGAATGATATAAAAGAAAAAAGAAATGATAGTGAAAAAAAAATAAGAAAAAATGATAGTAAGAAAAGAAAGAATGACAGTGAGAAAAAATGAGGAATGATTATGAAAAGAAAGATAAGAGAAAGAGGAATGATATAAAAGAAAAGAAAAAAGAAATGATAGTGAAAAAAATAAGAAAAAATGATAGTAAGAAAAGAAAGAATGACAGTGAGAAAAAATGAGGAATGATTATGAAAAGAAAGATAAGAGAAAGAGGAATGATATAAAAGAAAAGAAAAAAGAAATGATAGTGAAAAAAAAAATAAGAAAAAATGATAAGTAAAAAAAAAAAAGAATGACAGTGAGAAAAAAAGAGAATGATTATGAAAAAAGAAAGATAAGAGAAAGAGGAATGATATAAAAGAAAAAAAAAAATGATAGTGAAAAAAAATAAGAAAAAATGATAGTAAGAAAAGAAAGAATGACAGTGAGAAAAAATGAGGAATGATTATGAAAAGAAAGATAAGAGAAAGAGGAATGATATAAAAGAAAAGAAAAAAGAAATGATAGTGAAAAAAAAAATAAGAAAAAATGATAGTAAGAAAATAAAGAATGACAGTGAGAAAAAATGAGGAATGATTATGAAAAGAAAGATAAGAGAAAGATGAATGATATAAAAGAAAAAAGAAATGATAGTGAAAAAAAAATAAGAAAAAATGATAGTAAGAAAAGAAAGAATGACAGTGAGAAAGAATGAGGAATGATTATGAAAAGAAAGATAAGAGAAAGAGGAATGATATAAAAGAAAAAAGAAATGATAGTGAAAAAAAAATAAGAAAAAATGATAGTAAGAAAAGAAAGAATGACAGTGAGAAAAAATGAGGAATGATTATGAAAAGAAAGATAAGAGAAAGAGGAATGATATAAAAGAAAAGAAAAAAGAAATGATAGTGAAAAAAAAAAATAAGAAAAAATGATAGTAAGAAAAGAAAGAATGACAGTGAGAAAAAATGAGGAATGATTATGAAAAGAAAGATAAGAGAAAGAGGAATGATATAAAAGAAAAAAAAAAGAAAATGATAGTGAAAAAAAAAAGAAAAAATGATAGTAAGAAAAGAAAGAATGACAGTGAGAAAAAAATGAGGAATGATTATGAAAAGAAAGATAAGAGAAAGAGGAATGAATGATATAAAAGAAAAGAAAAAAGAAATGATAGTGAAAAAAAATAAGAAAAAATGATAGTAAGAAAAGAAAAATGAATGAAAGGAATGAGAAAAAAAATGAGGAATGATTAAAAGAAAAAGAAAAAAAAAAATGAAAAAAAATAAGAAAAAATGATAAGAAAAGAAAGAGGAATGATATTAAAAAGAAAATAAGAGAAAGAAAATATAAAAGAAAAAGAAAAAGAAATGATAGTGAAAAAAAAAATAAAAAAAAAAATGATAGTAAGAAAATAAAGAATGACAGTGAGAAAAAATGAGGAATGATTATGAAAAGAAAGATAAGAGAAAGAGGAATGATATAAAAGAAAAAAGAAATGATAGTGAAAAAAAAATAAGAAAAAATGATAGTAAGAAAAGAAAGAATGACAGTGAGAAAGAATGAGGAATGATTATGAAAAGAAAGATAAGAGAAAGAGGAATGATATAAAAGAAAAAAAAAAAAAGAAATGATAGTGAAAAAAAAAGAAAAAAATGATAGTAAGAAAAGAAAGAATGACAGTGAGAAAAATGAGAATGATTATGAAAAGAAAGATAAGAGAAAAAGGAATGATATAAAAGAAAAGAAAAAAAAATGATAGTGAAAAAAAAATAAGAAAAAATGATAGTAAGAAAAATAAAGAATGACAGTGAGAAAAATGAGGAATGATTATGAAAAGAAAGATAAGAGAAAGAGGAATGATATAAAAAAAGAAAAAAAAAATGATAGTGAAAAAAAAGAAAAAAAAAATGACAGTAAGAAAAGAAAGAATGACAGTGAGAAAGAATGAAAGGAATGATTATGAAAAAGAAAGATAAGAGAAAAGAGGAATGATATAAAAAAAAGAAAAAAAAATGATAGAAAAAAAAATAAGAAAAATGATAGTAAGAAAATAAAGAATGACAGTGAGAAAAAAATGAGGAATGATTATGAAAAGAAAGATAAGAGAAAGATGAATGATATAAAAAAAAAAAAGAAAAATGATAGTGAAAAAAATAAGAAAAAAAGATAGTAAGAAAAAAGAAAGAATGACAGTGAGAAAGAATGAGGAATGATTATGAAAAGAAAGATAAGAGAAAGAGGAATGATATAAAAGAAAAGAAAAAAAAGAAATGATAGTGAAAAAATAAGAAAAAAATGATAGTAAGAAAAGAAAGAATGACAGTGAGAAAAAATGAGGAATGATTATGAAAAAAGAAAGATAAGAGAAAGAGGAATGATATAAAAGAAAAGAAAAAAGAAATGATAATGAAAAAAAATAAGAAAAAATGATAGTAAGAAAATAAAGAATGACAGTGAGAAAAAATGAGGAATGATTATGAAAAGAAAGATAAGAGAAAGAGGAATGATATAAAAGAAAAGAAAAAAGAAATGATAGTGAAAAAAAATAAGAAAAAATGATAGTAAGAAAAGAAAGAATGACAGTGAGAAAAAATGAGGAATGATTATGAAAAGAAAGATAAGAGAAAGAGGAATGATATAAAAGAAAAAAGAAATGATAGTGAAAAAAAATAAGAAAAAATGATAGTAAGAAAATAAAGAATGACAGTGAGAAAGAATGAGGAATGATTATGAAAAGAAAGATGATAGTAAGAAAAAGAGGAATGAAATAAAAGAAAAAGAAAAAGAAAAAAGAAATAGAGAAATGATAGAAAAATGGAAAGAAAATGAGGAATAACAGTAACAAAAGAAAGGAAAAAGGAATGATAGTAAAAAAAGAAAGAAAATGACAGAGAAAGAGCGATATTCAGAAAAGAAAAAGAGTAATGATAGTGAAAAAGACGTATTAAAGTAGAAGAAAAAGAAACCTTAGCAACAAAAGAAAATGATAGCAAAATAGAAACAAGAAAGAAAGAAAAAGGTTAGTAAGGATAGAAAGAGAAAAGAAAAAGAAAAAAGAGAAACTATAGTATAAAAGAAAATAGGAATGATAGTGAAAAAGATGATAGAAAAGGAGATTGAAGAAAGTAAAAAAAACAACGGTAGAAGAAAAAAGAGAAATGAACGTAATAAAAGAAAAGAAAATGATAGGAAGAAAACAGAGAGGAAGAATGATAGAAAAGAAAAAGAAATGATAGAAAAGAACAAATAAAGAAATGATAGCAATGAAAGAAAGGAAAAAAGGTAGTAAAAAGAAAGAAAAATAAAAACATAACAAATGGTACTTTCATAAAAGTATAATTAAAAGCATTTTTTTTTTTAAGAAAGAGAAAAAAAAAAACTAAAAAAAAACTGACTGCTGTGAGATCGTTACTACAGAATACATCAGAATTATTTTCCATTGAAGTACACGACATCAAAGACAGACAGAAAGAAAAAATGTAGGAAACAAAGGTGAGAAAGACAATGTTTTTTAAATGTGTACTTGAATGACACTCAAGAAAATATAATCCTTACAGTTAGGACATGACTGAAAGACCTGAGCTATCTTTGAAAACCCAACTCAAGTAAATTTAAAATTTTGTGATTTTTTTTCAGCTACTTTAAAAATAAACTGCATCTTATTTGGATGACTTAATGAGAGGCAAATCATTTCAAAATTTATTTACAGGTAATACAGCAGGTAAACTTAAAAAAAAAAAAAAAAAAAAAAAAAAAAGATAAATAGTATCACTCTTTTTTTATATAAATATATATTAAAAAGAAGAGAGAAACTGTAAACATTATTGGTTGTAATGTGGATTTTTTAAAAAAATATATATATTTTAAAACATAATATATATATTTAAAAAAAAAAAATCCCTATCGCAGAGGCCTGCTCAGGTACGTTTTATGTTTGTTCAACAGCCACAAAGCCTATCTGTGGTTTAATGCTGAGTAGACCTTAGTTACAGTTTCTGGGGAAAGAGCGCATTGTCTCGGGTGATCAACAGTCTGCACAAGGTCAGTACCATCAAACCCTCCTTCACGATGACTTGTGACTTCAACACCTCCCAAATAATTATGTCTATCAAATTCCACTCACAAGGTTTGAATCAACCAGTAGTATGGTTTTCAGGCACTTTCCAAAGGTGCAGCATGCTGGGGATCACCTCTACAGGGCGATAACATCAAGTCATCTTCCTGATAAATTATATATATATATATATATATATATATATTTATTATAAATTAATTGATTTAAAACATGGTTAGAACTGTGTAGCAAAAAAAAACATATTTTATATCAATTAATTTATAATATTAATGCTCTGTAAATTTACATTGAGCACTATTTTGTAAAAATAAAAATATTTATAAGAACACCGGATTATATATCTTACTGTTCTTTCTTTTTATTTTTTTTCCTACATTTTTTTTACAAGAAGATCGGCACTGGACACAAATGCAAAATGCAACATTGGTGAAGTTTAAACTTTTCTGGTGCAGTCACAACTTCGCTGTGTTGGTCATGTTACAAGGATGAGTGACAACAGAATACCTAAGGTCCTCACATATAGCCAGCTTGACAGTGGACAAAGGACTGTTGGACAGCTGTGGCTCAGGCATAAAGACAAGTGGAGACAACATATTGGGTTCAAATTCTGGCTAAGTTCGTTGCCTTCACTTTGCAGAGATGCCCTTAAAAATAGCATGACTTCACCTTCTTCCAGTTAGGGGTTTAAAGAGCATGGAGACTGGGTTCTTTAAGATTGGTAAGATAACCAGTCTAAGAAAAGGACAAATTTGAATTCAAAACCAGCCTTTAAAAGAATATGCTCCTCTCTTGCATGGAGTATTGCTGCCATATATGGTCCGGAGTCCCTTCTGTTTGCCTCAGGGTTCTTGATAAGATCCAGAGACGGATATGCAATATAATTGGCCCCGATTTGGCATCTCGTCTGCAGTCGCTCTCTCACAGACGTGCAGTCGCCGCTGTCTTTTTTACAAATACTTTCATGGTAATTGCTTCGATGAGCTGCTTTCGCTGATACCAAGACTTCGCGAATTCAAGCATCCTACAAGGCTGGCATCCCACTCTCACCCTTTCACTGTTGAAACTATTAAATGTAGCCGCATCTTCTACTCCAATAGCTTCATGTCTCGCACCTCTCACCTGTGGAACTCCTTTTCCTGTTTCCCTGATAGCTTTAATCTCCAACTATTCAAATGTAATGTCAATCGACATCTCCAGTTGCCTTGATCTATCTACTCACTCCTCATCCTCTCCTCTATTATTCCTATCTGCTCTTGCTCCAAATCCTCTGTAACCCCTTGCATGCTAGTGGCTTGCTGCCTTGCTTGGGGTGAAATGCTTAAAAAATAAAATAAAATAAAAAGTGGTTGGGACCAGAGCACTTGAATCAAATTGTGCCATTCTTGCACATGCCAAAAGGTGGTATCTCAGTGTGTCTTCATTGAATGGATGTGGCAACTGACTCTTCATTTTGTGGCCAAAGAACTAGCATTCACCCATACCTGATTTCAGTCAGTGACCCTGCTTAAAAAAAAAAAAAAAAAAAAAAAAATGATGTCAATTGGTTAATGACACTGGTGGAGTCTTGTCAACAAAGCAATTTCCATACTGTAAATCTAACAGGTATACGTTCACTCCTTGCTGCCGCCATTGCCACAACTTTTGGGTGCACACATCTGCATCAGCAGTGAACATGTCCTCTACATAAGCTGATGTAACCTCTTTGATTGACATGTTCTGGTACATAACCAAGTCAATGATAGCCCTCATAATGAGAGGTACAACATTTAAGCTAAATCCCAATCACTTAAGGCAATACCTCTTGCCCTTGATCAGCACAGTTTGAAAGGGCCACAATGCCTGATAACCAAAAACCTGAAGAAAAAGATGGTTGACTGTTGTGTTGAACTGGCTACACATTTCACAGACAGTGAGTGAGAAAAAATTGATTGCAGGCATTGATTGCAAGGAAAAGTTTAAAGCTTTTTTGCTACAGCTCTATCAGGTTATTTCGCTCTAAACACACTCACTGTTGCTAATGGTTGTCTGGTTTGGTTTGTTTTGTTTTACAGCATATCAACCTCAATGGGTTATTTAATACCAACAAAATTTTTATTGCTGATAATATATTGTTTTGTGAAAAATCTACTTCTGGTAATAATTTTTTTTCAAACAAATATTGCTGGTAATAATTTTGTTTACAAAGTATTTCTGGTATTAAAACCAATTTTTACACTTTCATAGTGTTTTTACCCCAGTTTCGGGGTTAACTATTTTCCTATAGCTGTGACCCTAACAGGTGCTACCACCCCAGGTCAGGGTGGACCTGGGAACACCAGCAATTAAGAGGTGGTTTCATGCTCCTCAAAACCTCCTGATCAGAGGCCTTGTTGCTGAACGTCGCTTATCGTCTTACCCAGGACGTGGATGTATTTTATTGTCATACCTAGGACAGGCTAATGGTTGTAGTAAATATGGTGCCTCAAAAATCTAATTTGTTATGGGACCAGTGTTGGATTGTGTCATACCTGCATATATAAGAGAAAGTACTGAGAAGTTCTCACTAAACTAACAAGGAATTCAAAAGAAAAATTTCTGATGTTTGGTCATTTTATCAGATTTGGGGAAGTTGGTTTTACAGAGAACTTTTACAGCATCACCCCTCACACAATCTGTACATGTACATACATCTACCATACTGACATCACCTCATGGATAACACCTATACATATGACAAGGCAAGCATATACAGAGTGCAATGGACAAATTGTCGTCTAAATTAAACAAAAATGAAAACAACATTGACAGCTCATTTTAACAGATATTTTACCAAAACCAACATGAAAAAAAAAAAAAATGGATACTCATTTTGCACACATCATACACACACAGAAATATATATGTATATACATGCACACTTTTTCAAAAAGTGTGATGGTAATGCACAAAACCTTTACCACTATAATCAAATCTCATGTGCTAGTGTTGGGTTGTCAGTTCTTAGGTACTGATCTGCTTGACCCTCATATGTTGAATTTGATGGGGGAGTCGATTATATATATTTGTTAAAATGAGATGTCAGTGTTATTTTCATTTTTGTGTAACTTAGATGACAATTTATCCATCGCACATATATATATATACGCACACACTTAATCACACACGGTGCGATGGATAAATTGTCATCTAAGTTACACAAAAATGAAAAAAACACCAACATCCCATTTTAACAAATATATTTACCAAAAATATCTTGAAATAGTAAAGAGTAAATTTATTCAATAAAACTAAATTCAACCATAGCCTCCAGACAACATTGAAATCTCCTGCAGGTCTTTTGGGCAGTTTATTGTTTAAGTTAATGAATGCTGTCATAATCCTTGTCTTCAGTTCATCTTTGGCATTACAAAGAGTTTTGTTGGTCTCTTGCTCAACTGTGCACTTCACACATCATAATCAAAGGGGTTACTGTCTGTGAAGTTAGGTGGCCTGATGTAAGGGGTGATAAGGTTGCAGATACTGTCTGACAGGAATGACAAGGTTCTCCTGCTAGTGTGGCATAGTGCAGAGTCCAGTTGCCAGACATCAACCCTCTTGCCCCAGGGTAGCATTACCTCCTCAAGGCACATGATGTAGGTTTCTGTGTTGTGTCGGAGGCACTGTGGGAAGATAAATGGAGGAATAATGTTGCTGTCATTAGTGATCACTCCAAATATCTTTGTAATCACCATTAGACTCATCCAATTCTTTCCAAGTCCCCTCCACTGTCCTCCGAGTGACATCCAAAGACACTGAAATGTTCGTATTGGAGCTCCTGGCACAAATGCCAAACTCTACAGTATGCCATTTCCAAATTTCTGGCAGAATGAATTGTGTCATATTGCCCTTTTTCTAACAGATGGTGTCCAACTGACCCTACTATACTGTGAAGTCAACAAAAATCAAAGAATGCACATACACAAAATTAAAAATATAAAATGGCGACAATTTACCTGTCACATCCAGTGTGCATGTGTGTGTGTTCATATACACTTACTCAATATGATGAGGTCTTGAAAAGTTCTTGGATTGACCACTTTTGAACTTTTTTTTTCTTTGAAAGCCATGAACTTTTCAGCACACCTTTCAAATCTTAAGAAACTAAGTTACAATAACATGCTTGATTGATTTTTTTATATTTTCTCTAATTATTGTTTAGCCCCTTACAGGATAACTGAGTACTTAGCACCTAACTACTGTTCATTCTGTGAATTTAACCCTTTACATGATCATTACAAGTATTTAACCAATTATTGTATTATTCAAAGTAGTTAGCATTCCTGGGTATGATGATAAACTACATCCAGCAGCAAAGCCTCTGATTGGGAGATTGAAGTTTTTGAGGTACCTGGAAACACCTCTTAGAGTCCCAGCTATAGGCAAATAGTGAAACTCAAACAAAACACTATGAAAGCATAAAAATACATTCTTATTCTTGTAAAATATCAATAATATATATATATATATATATATATATACATATATATATATCACACACACACACACACACATATAATTAAAAAACAACAAAAAAACAATACATTTTCTCTGTAGTTGAAGGTATACAAATGCATCTGAAATATATTTAGTTGAAGCCATTAAATTGTTCCGAAATATGTAGGTTTCAGCATTAAATAACACATAGTGGTTGATATGCTGCTAAACAAAATCAATCAATCAAGTACTTAGCCACTTATAGGATCAATCTGAGCATTTAGTCCCTTGTGGGATTGGTCCAAATACTAAGCCCCTTATGGGATTGTTCCAAGCACTTAATCCCTTACAGAATCATATCAAATAGTTAAATCCTTACGGGATTGTTTCAAGTGTTTACTCCTTAATGAATTGTTTTAAGTATTTAACTCCTTACTGGATAATTTCAAGAATTATTTTATTAGACCATTCTGAATATTCAAACCTTCGTGGATCATTCCAAATTTTTACTCTTATGAAATTGTTTTGCTTATCAAAGATTTTTTCTTATATCCTATTCTTTTCAGAAAATTATCAGTTAACTCACTTATAAAATAACTTTTGATTTTGGAGCGAGTCAAAAATATGAAAATATTTGGTCATCTTGTTATTTTTTAGAGTAAGAATAAGTCTTTGGTGAACTTATACCCATTCTGCAAGATCAGTGGCACCAAACAGTCTGAGCTCTTCCTGAGCTAAATAAGGATTATTCTATGGCAGCTTTAAAGCATAACAAAATTCTTCTCCACTCATTAGCAAGGACCTGGGCTGAATAAATCAATCTATGGTGTGCATATATATATATATATATATATATATATATATATATATAAAATATATATTAGTTAGTTTATGAAAAACTAGGTAAACTGTATGGGTAAACCTAAGGAGGATAAAATCCAGAGCAAATAATTTAAATAAAAACAGACCACTTAAAGTGGTTTGTTTTTTTATTTAAATTATATATATATATATATATATATATATATATATATATATATATATATAGTAACCACACTGTCTCGAAAACCTTCGGTTTCTTGATTTGCTAATGATCAAATCAATTTCAAAGGAAAAAAAGTTTAAAAAAAAAAGAGCTAGGAACATGAATGTCTCTCGAAAATAATCGTACAGCATACAGGTCCAAAGTCCAAAGAAAAAAACCCTGATACGAGTAATCAACTAACTAAAAAGTGCTCAATACAAAAGTAGAGCAGACCTAGTCAAACCTACACAGATTTCACCTAAGAGATCATCAGGAAAAGCCAGCTTTCCCTGACAATCCACTTAGGTGAAACCATGGTAGGTTTGTCTGGCCTCTCTCTCTCTCTCTCTATATATATATATATATATATATATATATATATATATATATATATATATATATATATATATACACACACATACACACACGTGTGTGTGTCTCAAATTACTGTTTTTAAACAACAAATCTTGGATGATTTTTCCCAAATGCTCATATCTACTCGAAGCATATCTTAATATAAATGAATGATATGAGTGTTCAAAAAAAAACAAAAAAAAAACATGGGAAATTTGTTTAAAAACAGTAATTTGACTTTCCTAACCAGATGTTTCCTCTGCAGCTAAATGGTAAAATGTCTCTCTCTATGTATATATAATAAAAAGGCTTAAACACTAATATTCCATGGTTATAATTTATTACATTAGAATCTTAAATATTTACAATTCCAATGTAATAAATTATAGCCATGGAATATTAGTGTTTAAGCCTTTTTATTATATTCTTACTCTGTCCTGGACATTGAGTTCTACCTGGATTCTATCCTCTTGGGAATTTTTGTGTGTATTTTGCATGTAGTTATATATTTTATATATATTTATATATATATATATATATATATATATATATATATATATATATATATATGAATAGAAATAGGATTTATAAATAAATTCTACATTGCCTTGATAAAGAATTGAACCATTTTGATAATTTAATAGAAAACATTTATTTGTTAAGGTATTTCCAGACTGAAATTCTGTTATCATATTTCTGTAAAGATGAATGTGGCAATGATAAAATCATTCGGAGGACAAAAAGCATCGACTAAAAATAGCTTTTCCTCTTGTCTTTTTATTCATTTGGTTCCTTTACATATACGCTATCTGAAAATGATAATAATATATATATATATATATATATATATATATATATATATATATTGTTATTATAAAATATTATAATAAAAACATTGACATCACTACACAAAAGCTTTCATGTTTCAATACTTTAATTTTTACTCCATCCATTCTTTCTCTCATTTATATATATATATATATATATATATATATATCAAAAGCATTGAAACACAAACTACCCCACTACACAGGTTTCAAATCTGAAGGTCTCCTCGGCTAAGCAGAATGAAAAATTTAGTGGATTTCCTAATATACTAACACCAGAA